GCATTAGTTCGTGAGATACCGGCCGACATGTTGGAAAGAGTATGCCGAAATTGGACTAAGCGAATGGATCATTTGAGGCGCAGTCACGGTCACATTAAATTATATGGACCGTGCTATCGATTCAAATAAAAATTTCATGCATTTTTTTGAATTTCAATGTATTATTTTTTTAAAAACTCTCTTAAAAAATCACCTTTTTTTCAGCAGGAATAGTATTCTCCTCTCCGGGACTGACCTATTCGAAGAAATCTTATTATGATTGGATTTACTTGAAATTATTTTTTACACGAGTAAAAGTAAAGTGCTCAAGGACCAAATATACCATTACCGCTAAATGGAGCGGAAGCATGGACGATAGCAACATCTGATGAGTTGGTCTTGAGAGTTTTCCATAGAAAGAATTTGCGTAAGATTAGGGTTTTCCATTTTACACGTTGCAGTTGGAGTGGCTTTATAACAATCCGAGCTCCATTTGCCACAGTTATGCCTATTGAGGTAGCCATCAATGAGATGAAATTTTCATAGTAAATTTTAATAATTTCAATTCGTGTGTCGATCCATTTTTATTGTTGACATAACCACGGCTTCAAAACTTAGCCTCTTTTATAAAAATCTTTGCCTTGAATGACTGACGGATCAACCCACAGTTTAAACTACTCATTGTATAGACCTGAAACTTGGAGAGTGTGTTTTGCGTTCACCTTCGATAAAAAAGGTTTTGAGAAGTGAGTCTGGGACCAATCCATTCGAAAAAACATTTTTTTTAATCGTTCGGTTTTTATGAAATTTGGTACCAGGTACATAGATCTTTGCCTAAATTCAGGTGGGAAATATTTCTTGATCGCGAAGTAGAATTGGGATCGAATTATTCGAAAATTTTGTCATTATCGGTTCAGTTAGATAAAGTTTGGTATGTATAGACAAGTTTGGTATGCATAGACAAGTTTTTTCCCGTGAGCCATCTATTCGAAGGAATCGGAATAATATGTGGGAGACTTTTATTTCATTTTCATATGTGTTAATATAATATTTTATAGATATTATATAATAATTTAAATAATTTAAAAATCCAATTATTGGAACCATCTTAAGATTCCAAGCTAACGTAATTGTGGGCACACTATGGTTTAAAGGATAAAAATATAAATATTATTTCCGAAAAGAAAAATATAACCTCAAATGTGGTAGTAAAATATAATAATTTTTGAATTAATTCCTAAAGAAAGAAAATGTAAAAGTAGAAGCTATTCTCATTTTGAAAATCTTTATTAAATACTATATAAATAACAAAAAAAAAAAATAAACAATGAATTTGCTTGCATTTTTATCTCAGCTGCATATATGAGAACAGACTGCATCAAGAAAATATAATATTATACGTTGAAACTTTTATAGTTTTGTTAATAAATTATCATTTACTTTTCAAAAACCGCACGACTATTAAAGTAACTCATTTTCTACTGCATATTAGTTTTATAAGAGTAAGAAAATTAATAAAAATTCTTATAAAATAAAAACGTGGAGAGAAATGTGCAAATAGTCTTGGCGTCAGTGTTTATCTATAAAAATTTAATAACTTAGCAAAACGCTTATAGTTGTTAAGTTAAGTTGAAAACAAGAAAACATGAAAATTGTAATTAGAATTACGGTAATTAGTTGCAACGAAAGAGAAACAAATTTGTTTATGCAAATAACAGAAGTCATTAGAAAAGTGACAAATAAACTTTGGCAAAACTTCTGCGAAAGTGTAGGTAATTCATAAATACAGGGTGCATCATCTATATGTGGTCAATGGAAACATTGAATAACTTTGACAGATTTCAACCCATTGCGTGCAGTAAAAACATTTTGGAAAAGTTAATCCAATACAATTTCAGCCATGTGTCGCTGCTCGTCCAGTTCAGCTGTTGCACCACAGCGAGCATATCGGAAAAAGTATCGCGGCCGTGCTGTGCTTAAAAGTTCCACTATTCGTCGCTTGGCTTCGCATTTCGAGATTCACGGGTGACTCACACAGCGGAGTCAACGATGAAATGGTAGCGGCAAAAGTTCCCCGTACGTGTGGTATCGAAAGGAGCTGAAATCGACTGGCCATACTTTTACTAAGAGGCATTTTGAAAAGCCAACAAACCGAAGACTTTGGACGAGTTGAAGAAAACCATTCGAGTTGAAATCGCTGCGATATCGACCGAGACGTTGGCGAATGTCATGGTAAATTCCAAAAAAAGAGTAAAGTTTTGTTTGCGCAGAGAAGGTCGTCATTTGATCAACGTTGGTTTTTGAGCCTATCTGGGAAAAAGTTGTAAGGCTTTAAATTTGATAATAAATAACGGTTTATCAAAAATTATTGAAAATTGTTCAAGTTATACAACATTACCATTGATCACATATAGATGGCGCACCCTGTACATATATATATTCCAATTAAGTAAGTAGTATTGAGCTTCAAATAGAGACTTTTGTCCGAAGAATATAAATTTTCCAACGCCTGTCTTTCGGGAGGTTGTTGCCAACTGCAATAGAGGCGAATGGCTGCAGCAAAAGTCCTTACTAATCGTTCCTAAATAAACGAAGGATGGAGCTTCCGATTACTGCCCACGACTAGAGATAAGCCATTGCAGTATTTTTCGAGCCAAGATATGACGATAGAGCTACTGCAGGTTGCAGCTTTTCAAAGGAAGACCTTCAAAGGAACAGAAAACACATTTTATGTGGATAGTCAAGCGTCCATCAGAGGTAAAATTTTTGGGATGACAAACACTGTGCAAACAATAACCGTGAGAGTTATGACGTTTTGGTTGGATTCATATCGAAACATTAGGGATATCACATGCACAAAAACCCGACTTGACATCATGGGATTTTTCAAATTTCGCATTGTATACTGCTTCCAAATATTATCAGTCGCAGTAGTCGGGAGTCTTGGCAAAGCGTACTAACATGCGGAAATTTAATTGCGATCGACAGGAAAGGTCCACAACTCCCAGTTTGTATTTGTCTAAAACAAAAGTTCTTCATAAAATTTTTGTGACTTTCTGTGAACTGTTGGGCCCTCCATTTGTTAGCACAACTTCAAGATACTCACCACAAATTGTAGGAATAGCAAGTCAGTAGTGTCTTATTTTCGATATTTCGTGCCAATTGGTAGCACTGAGGGAAATCAAGTACTTATCCACCTGTTCCATCCATTGAACTGGAGATCTTAATTTTGCTTCTGCTTTAACCAGTAGGTACTGCATCGAATACTTTCAGAGCTGAAGTGTTTTCATACGATCATACCGGGGCCCTGACTATTTCTTTAATTGGAGATATTTCCTTGCTCACTACCAGAGCCATTCGCTTATCTTCTCTACCCAAATTGGAGAAAGCAGAACTAGCGATGCGATGTTCTACCAAACGGAGGAACCTTTTATCAGATAATAAATGCAAGAAATGACACGACAAAGATTCACTCTGTCTGAAAACTCATTGAGTATCGGAATATGAGTGTTGCAGGGATATGAAAATCAGGCATAGCGGAATAGAGATAGCTCCGTTTCAAGCTTCCGAAGACTGTTTGAAAATCACGTGGGCTTTCCAAGATTTGGCGTTTGGAGAATATCTGGCGCAATGATGAGTCTCGCAGTTCTCAAGTCACTCTGAGAGGTTCTGAAAGGTTGGTAGACAGTGGGTGCTTTAGGCCCTTGCACAATATCCTCGACACATCTTTATATATGGTATTGAGAAGAATTAGCTCACAATAAAAGGCGCAGAGTGTGAGATTCTCGATTTTGTGGATTGGACAGAGCATACTGAGGTTTAATTCGTCTAGGATGCGCTCAACAAATCAAATATGGCACAGAAGAAGATGTTTCAATAGGCCGGATGGTAAACAATTGACTTTCGCTGGTTAGTTGTACCTCAGGCGGGCAGTAACTATTCGGAATTCGTCATAGTTTAGGAAAGGATTGTCGAATTCGTCACTTTTAAACTGATTGATCGAAAGATAAAAATTGAGATAATTGAACTTTTCAAACTTCTTTTGCGGTAAATTCTTCTCCATCTATATCATTCGCCATAGGTAGGATAGATGGTAATCAGTTGGTGCGAGGTCCGGACTACATGGTGGATACCGAAGAAGCTCTCAACAAAGCTTTCGAAACTTCTGGCGAGTCACAATTCCCCTACAGTTTTGCCATAGAGAAGCAGCTCATAATGAATGTTCCGTGCCAATATCACCAACCGCACAACAAAACTTGCCTTTCGGTCAATGCTGGCTTGGAGATCGTTTTTGTCGACTCACTGCGTTTTCATCACCAGCTTAGAAATAGGTCGATTTTGTTACGATTCAGCAGCGATTTGTAGATGGAAATATTTTCTCATTTACTCATTTACTCATATGACATCCAAACATCGAGGACCGTAAACACTGTCCACATTTTCAGCTGCCTGACTTGCGACTTCCCCTTTATCAAAGAAAAATGATAGAATTTAGTTAATTTCCTCTTTGCTGGAGACAATTTTTTAAAATGTGCTCAAGCGCAACTGAATGACAAAAACGATTTCTTTACATATGTCTCCAGCAACTCGCTGAATTCCAGTCTTAGAGCAGGTATTTTCTGAGTAGTTAAGAAGAACAAGAAGAGTAATAGTAATAAGATGAGAGAGAACAAGAAAAAGTTGATGCAGAAAGTAAAGGCCTACAAGAAGTTTATACAGGGGCGTTTTAGAAATATCCATGCTGTAAGAGAACAATTCCCGATCCCTCCTATACATATTGACATCGGTAAAGGAAGCTTTTTGCAAACCAAATTTAATTGAAAATTATTAATTTTTATACTTTTATGCTGTTATTATTTTTATTGATTATTATATATTTCCACTTTTCTCTTTAAGAAAAAAACGTAAAAAACGTTAACGTAAAAAATTTGTGTTCACGAAATATTTAATTATTAATTGAACTATAATTTATCGATTTTATTCTTCAAAATATTAATTGTTTCCATATCTACTATTTCCAGTGCTCCAAACTCATTAACAGCGAATCACATCTTCAACCAATTAACCCACCGACGCTATGACTATGTGTAAATGCCAAAGATTAATTTTTAAGCATAATAATTAAATAATAATCTTAAGTTAAGACTGTGTATAATCACCAACAAAGCAGCTTTGATTGCCAAATTAGAAAATCTATCCAAAAACTACATAGCAAAACACAACCAAAATGATTGGTGACACATCGGAGAATATCGGTGCAAATGCCTGGACAAAATTGCTCGACGATAAGGACAGTCCAAGCAGTAACAATCCTGAAATCACCAAATCTACAGTAATTTCTGAAGTAGATTTTCAAAAATGTAACACAAAAGAGGATACTCTATTGCCACTCGAGCGTTTGAATGGTAATTGCAGTAACCTGAGCAGTGGGGAGGGCGGTGTTGTTGGTGGTAATACCATCAGCGATAGCACTGTTGGCGAGACGAAATCGCAATTATCCCGTAAAGGATCTGTACTCGGTTCATTCCATAAACATTTAAGACGTTCATTGAAGGCAGTCAGCGAGTCGCCTGGTCCGATAACGAGGTAAGTCGGGACATTTGAATATTTTGAAATTATGTAATGTGAATTAAAACCTGAAATTTCTTCTTTAAAATAGCTGCTGCTTTGGAATATGCTTCTAAAAAAAAAATAACAAAACAAGACACTAAAACTAGATCTAAAATTATATTTTGAATTTTAGCAGTCCTTTTACTTGGCTCCTTCATGCATATTTCCAAAGTAGATTTCTAAATCCTTTTTATATCAAAAATACAAAATTTTTTACGGTGGGTAATCTAAAGGGTGGGTCATGTACCATTTGTTTCTTAAGCTATGGTTTATGTGAGCTTTGACATTCAGTACTGGAAAAGTGGGATATATTGAAAATTTCTTCCAAAATGGTGAGTCTTCGACCGCGGAGTGTTGCGGTAATCCAATAAAGAGAAAACCATTGGAAAATACAGGGTTTTCCAATAAGAGGTATTATTTAGATATTCAAAGCAAAATATAATTTATTAAGATTAATGGTCGGCTCTTTATTTCAATGTGAGGATGAAGATAGGCCATTAATAAGAATAAACTGCTAAGCTTACAGAACCGTAAGTTTTATTTTTGAAATTTCCTTTCACCAACTTGCAATGTTTATGAATTCCATTTTTGTGATCTTGAGTCTACGTTGGCTTCTTGCTGCAGATCTTATTCTTCAGGCGGGCCCAAAAGAACGAAGTCGCAAGATGTTAAATTAAAAGATCTCGATGGCCAATTGCGATCATCTCTTCGAGAGTTAGCACGATCCGGAAACTTTTCCTTTAAAGTATCGACGATTTTGTTGCTTGTGTGAAACGTAGTGCCATCTTGTTAGAAAGCAAAGTTGTTCAGTTCAATATTATCCAACTTTAGCCAAAAAAAAAATTATTAGTCATCTCTCGAAAGCGCAGTCCATTCACCGTAACTTTTGAAACAGTCTCATTTTGGAAAAAGTAAAAAGTACCATCTTGTGAATCAACAATACATTTTGGTTTGTCCGATTCAAAAATGCGTCAGTTTTGCTAATAGATGTTGCCATCGAGGTGGAAAGTTCTCAATACTCAAGCTGATTTTGGGATTTTGATTTAATGGGATTCCGGATCAATAAGAAAATGCACTTCTTTGATGATCGGGCGGTTTGAGTTCTTGCGTGAACTAAATACTATGCGTATTATAACCTAAAGACTTGGGTCACACGTGACATGTGGAATTGTCCGATTCCTAAGAACTACAATACAAGGAATGGAAAAACCTGGGGTTACTGCAATACTTTGGGCAACATCAGAAATATTTTCAATTGTTCTTGAGCGCTGTGCTCGTGTTTTAATCTTCATAAGATGCTTCACGAAGACCGAAAAATGTTTGGTTTTACGAACCGTCTCGCCCAAGTTCTCACCATTTTTCTAGTGTATCTCAACAATTTCAATGCGTTGTTGAATCATGTATCGCTCCATTCATATTACTGGCGTAGTTTTTACTTGTCAAGTGTCAAAAAGTTACAGCTTCAAATGTGACATCCACCCGAATAGCAGGCTATAACATCTCTTATTGGAAAACCCGTTATTTATCCATCTTTTTTTATACCAATTTTAAAACGCAAACCTTTTCACTATACAACTTAGGTGGTCTTCCATACTAAAATTCAATCACGTTTCGTTTTTTTTTTTCAACATACGTAACGTTAGGTTAATTGCCATAGCGTTGTTGGTAGGTAATATTAAAATTTTATTTTATTTTTATGTTAGCAACATTCATTCCTAGAAGCAATTCTATTTGCACAACCACGTGTGTTTTATTTGTGTTGTGCTTGGTTATAAAGGGGAGTGGGGAGAAAATGAATTAAACGGCAAGCTTACAATAGGCTGTTAAGTGGCTAAACAAGCTCATGAGAGCTTACAGAAATTGTTGATATTAGTTTTAAGCACTAATTTGCGTAATAATAATAACACATGTAGAGGATATTTTAGAAAGGGGCACATACAATATTATTATAACTGATTTCAGTGGCTTAATAGTGATTTTTAATATATTGTAACTGCTGAATATATTACCCAAAGAAGGTCCTTCCTGAATTAATCAGAGGTGCTATGTGCAGAGTTATGATTTCAAACTTTGGGCAGATCAACAGCCAAAATTTCGAAAAAACTTATTAAAAAGATAATAAATAATTTCTCTAAATGCGGCCGTTCCGAGTCTTGGACATGGTATATTATAAAAGCTTCTCAGCCGTTCGAAGGCGGGTTAGTATAAAATGTAGGTTAGTAGCATTAAGATGTGCACCACAAATTGGAGTAGGAGGTCGGCCAAAAATCGCTTCAGCACCGACTATACCTTTTCTAATTATAAATATATGTATAAATAGAGAAGTTTACTAAGAGATTGTCGAAATACAGGGTGAATAGTTGCTAAAATAAGATTTACCAATACTTTTTAGTGGGAGTATGATCGTTTCTTTTTCTGACATTGAGCTGTCAACCAGTGGAACATTTATTCCAAAACCGTAATAATAAAAAAATTTCATTTACGCAAGTGCCAAGCGTAAGGTTGTCAAGTGCGTTTCATACTTTAAATCACGTATTATATATATATTGATTAAGAGTTCACAAGAAGCCTTCTAAGGATGCAAAAATACCTCTTTAGAGAGCTTTATTTAGTGTTGTTAAAGGCATTACAGATGCAGATCCAACATTTTTTCATTGTAAGTCACACGCACCATGGTTCATGGACACCACCAGCGGAGATGAAACTTTGGCACTACTTAAAGTCATGAGATAAAGAAATTCACTCTGACAAGGGATAAAGCTGTCTAGAAGTTGAAAAATAGACTAACTTTTTTTTTTAAATTTTAATGTGCGAATATGGGAAAAGGAAAATTATTTCTATTTAACTATTTCATTGAATGCAAATTGGGGTATAAAAAAATATTATTTTGCTACAAAATGGCGGTAATAAAGTCCATTATTTTATTCATGTTTTTTTTGAAAGGCGACCACGGGAGGACCAATTTCTTCTTAAGGATGGGACCTAGAACAGAAAAGCAAAAAGTTTTATGGTCTACAATCTATGATCTTTGGAAGTACGTAAGGATTCAGTTTTTAACTAATTTTTGTGAAAGTGGCACCCTTTTTTAAAAGATTAATTTTTGACTAAAAAATACGCACTAAATTATTTAAAAAAAATACATTTAATCGGAAAACGGCTTACTTACTTTCAAAAAAATGTACTTCTGAAGCCACCTTCAAAATTTCAGATAGATCGATGCTCTAGAGTCCGACTTTTGATTTTGAGGAAAACGCTTCAAAAAACTTTCTTGTTTCACTCTGAAACCAATTGCTTATCATTTCTAGGACCCAAAGATACACTGTGAGAGAAAAATTTGCGTTTATCAAAATCCTAGTGTGACTTTACCCTTTGCCGGCTCTGTTCAATGACCTGAACTCATTCCCAAAGGGCCAATCCACAGAAATCGTGCTTTACATACTAAATAAACTCTTTGAGGGACCTCTAACGATTACTGCTTTGACGATGTCTTGGACATGGAGGGCGTTTCCAATTACATGCTACCAGATGCTGTGAAATCAAAGTTTAGGTTTTCCAGGCGGCAGTTCTACAGAGGAATTACTCAACTAATTGAGATGACCTTTGTTTTGGAATACTACATTTGAAAAGGATGACTGCCTACTACGACGATATAGCCATAGCTTACAGATGCAAGTTTTTATAAACTTTATTTCATCGTTGGTTAAGAATTTTCACCACAAAACGTTTTAGTGCGTACTTCTTCATTCAGTTTAAAAGGAATGGGCTTTACAATGCACTTCTTCACCTATTTCGGCGAGAGGAATTCCTTGAATTGTAAAAAGTTAACACATCATCAAGATTGTTTATGAAGAGCCACCGGAGAGTGGTCGCATAGTGTGGATTGTGGTTTCTTAAAATCTCCCGTCTTCGCGATATAGACATAAGTACTGCAAAACTGACGCACCGAGCATCCAATTGAGCCACAAACTCTTATGACTTATAGATTTGGAGTCTTCGTCAATCCGATTGATGATTTCCTTTTGTTAGTCAGCGGCTAGTAAGCTCTTCGAGTGATAGGTTTTGCGTATTGGGAGGACTTATATTTGTATACTCGAAGTTAATTTGAACCGAGAACTGTTATTATTTTAATGATTTTAATTCATTTATGGCGGTGACCGAGATTTTTTTTTTTAGCTTTGACTCTGTTGAAGTAGATTGACATTGGCTACAAATCTTGGCCGTCCCCGTTGTTTACAAAGAAAATAGAAATTCCTAAATTGAGTTTATGATGGCCCAAAAATTGTTTGAGCTATGAGCTGCTCCACCCTGTGGTCAAACTCTTAATTCGAGGCTGTGCTGTCAGCAAATGGACCGTCTGTGGAAAGCAATCGTCCAGATGAGCCCAGTTTTGACTAAAAGGAGGGAGTTGTGTTTCATCAGGGCAACGGTACATATCTCACGTAAATTGCAAAATCGTATAATAATGGATTGCTTTTTACTAGACCAATATTATTAAGTTTTCATCTAAATGACATAAGAAGCTTTAACTGAGATCCGAGAAAAGTATAATATCCGCTACCGCTACGTCTCTACGGTATCATACATACATACGTATATCCGTTCTAAATAAGATAAATATGCACATAAAGAATGTAAAGTACGAGACATTCCAAAATAAATAATTGAATTAAAGAACATTTAAATTAATTTATTACCCACAGCGCGCTAAGCGAAGATCAGACGAGCTTTGAATCTGACTTACTTTTAACGCACATCCATAATTACATATAAATGTTTGCACAAAAGAGGCTCTAAAGAATTAAGATAATATTATTTATAGTTTTTTTTTTTGCTTTTTTTTATGCGCTGCCAAAGCTCAACTAACGAGGCTGCGCTGCTCAGCGTATGGTTGTATTGTTGTATTGGAAACATTTAAAGCTATACAGTCCACATAAAACGCGCCTACAACAATAAAAGCAACACAATGGCACGATATT